ATCCATGTTCTTTTATTTCCCAAGTAAAAAAAAAAGTAAATAATCATTTTAACCATAAAAATCCATTATTAAAAGGGGTTTTTTGTCCCATTCAAGTATTGGAAACTTTCCATAGGGTGGAAAAGTTATTTACCCACATAGGAGATGGGTATCACTTACCTAGGTAAATGATACCTAGGAAAATAAAGTAATAAACTTTCCTTGGTCCCCACATTAATATGAAAAAAGAACATGGGATTCTTGGTGAATAGGAACCAAAATCTCATTGACCAACTTCCCCCCTCTCAAAATCAAAAAAAAAGAGTGCCCCCTTAAGGTAATTGGTTGCCAATGCATAGGGGTGTAAACAGTATTCAAAAATCCGATTTCGAATTCGATATTCAACATAATCGAATCGAGTTCGGATAATTCGAATATCTAATCGGTCGAATTTGGATATAACCTGATTCGATTCGATAAATATCTCAATTCGACTGATTATTTAATTCTTATATATAATATATAAAATATTTTATATAAATTATATATAATATCAAAGTTATATAAATAATTTATATGCTTTATATCAATAAAATAATTATTTTATATATTTTTTAATTATCTAAAATAATTAATTAATCGAATCGAATATTCGAATATTTAATCAAATTCAAATTTGGATATTAATTTTCAATATTCATCAGATATTAAATCAAATTCAAATATCAGATTTTCTAATTGGATTCGAATTCAGATATTGCCTTATCTAATTCAAATTCGATCCATTTACACCGCTACCAATCCATATTACTAAACCTCTACATGGATTTTTTTTTTTTGCAGTAAGTGGCCACTATCATACTCAAACTTATTACATTCCCACACTTGTGACCATGAGATTTTACCATTAAATGAAGAAATGACCACTTACCATAATTGGAGATCAATATATTATTAAAAATTATTTGGTCATTTGGGTGCAAAATGACTCAGGATCTACTGTTTTCCATGTTGTGCATGAAAACCCTACTTAATAAAATACAAGTAAACACGCCAATATTTCATATACACGAGTGTGGATCCCATGTATGCTAAACGCATGTTCACTCAGGATTAATTACATAGGGTTTTACACACAGCGTGACGAGCAGGAGGCCGCGTTCTGTGCACTGGACGTGTGAACCTGCGAATGAGAAAGTGACACGTCGACCAAGCCAACATTAACATCCGTTTGAACGTTAACGTGGTCTGGTCGGTTCATGCGGATACGAACTGATCTGGGACAAAAGGGCCTCATTTCTTCCATTCTGTTTTCGTGAGAGCTCCTTCCACCGAACCTACCCATACACCAAACCCTTCCTCCATCAGCTGCGATAGAACTCCGGCAGTTCATTGACAGCGACAAAAAGACCTCCGGCGGCGACGTATTCTTCTTTTCCTCTTCTCTTCTTTTTCTACTCTCCATTCTTCTTCTTCGACAAGTAACTCCGGTGGTAGGGCCGGCGATCATTCTTCTCCTCTTCTTCTCGTTGGAGTCTGACCACTGTGTTTGCGAGATCTGCCAGCAGGGATTTAGAGAGACCAGAACCTTTAGATGCACTTGCACCGGCAGAAGGTGCCGTGGAAGCTACTCAAGAGGGAGACCAGAGGTTCGAAAGAAAGTGTTTGTTTGCCCATAACCCAGCTGCTTGCACCATGATCCTTCCCACGCACTCGGCGATCTCGTCAACATAAAGAAGCATTTCAGAAGGAAGCACAACAATCACAAGCAAGCAACTGGGTGTGTGGCTGTGTGAAGAAAAAGAAGAAGAGGAGGTTGTGCCTGAACGGTAACGTCTCTAGTGTTTCCACTCCCTTGTCAATGTGCCTGAACGGTACCTCTTCTCTGTGTTGCATAAAAGAACAATAAGAGGAGGTTGTGCCTGAACGGTAACGTCTCTAGTGTTTCCACTCCCTTGTCAACCGGAAGAAAAGCCAAACAGATTGCCACCGAGAACACTATGCCGTCTGCAACCCGAACTAGCACCTAGTGCTTGAACGGTAATGTCTCTGTGTTTCGCAAACCCTCTATTCCTCCTCCATCATTGCCCATGAAAACGCGATGGCATGGACTTCGGCTTCTTCAGGCCATAATTTCTGGATGGATTTATAAATTAGGGCTTTAGCTTCTTCAGGGCTTCAAAAATAAAAAATCAAATTCCATAGAGAGAAGAAGAAGAGAGAAGAACACATCGCCGCCAGAGGTCTCGTTGCCGCTGTCGATCAACCGCCGGAACTCTGTCGCCACCGATGGAACAAGGGTAGGGTTCGGTGGAAGGAACTCTCGAAGGGAAACAAAATCGAAGAAATTTGTGTTCTAGACCGGTTCGTATCCGCACGAACCGGTTCATTTCCGCGTGAACCGACTAGACCACGTTAACGCTCAAGCGGACATTGACATTAGCCTGGTCGATGTATCGTTTCCTCATTCGCAGGTTCACGCGTCCAGTGCACCCACGGGTGCACAGAACGCGGACTCGACGAGAAGAAGATCCGGGCTCAGTGTGAATTGGAAAGCGTACCAAATTGGTTGATTTGGTGGGAATTGTCATTTAAAAAATGAGTCCGGATCTGTTCCTCATAGAGTGCGCCTCACATTGACCTCACAGTCTATCCTGACCACACATCGGGAATATTTTTCGTATTTGTATTTATAATATGTTTCTAATACAGAGTGGGATGCGACTGTGAGGTCGGTGTGAGGCGCATTTTGTGAGGAGCAGATCCTAATTCTTAAAAGACAATTTCTCTTTCTTGTTAATTTGCAACTTCTCTTTACTACTAAAAAATCTTTGAAGTTTTTCAATTTTCATGACCCAAATCATGTACAAGCGAGTTCACATCTACCCAAGGGGGTTCCCCACAACATCCCACAGCACATCCCCGTATGGGGAACATCTCTTGATGATGACATCATCATTTCTAGTACTATCATCGGGAGATGTTCCCAATACATGGAAGGGATGTGCTGTGGGACATTGTGGGGGCGCAGATCTGAACTCCTCACAAGCTATCCAATATCCAATTGAACTCAAAGTCAAGATCCCTAGTAATGGCAACCGGGCAGGGAGGAAACCACGCCCCATCCCCACCACTGTCCCCACCCCAATTGTTTCTTCATCCCTGTCCCATTACAATTAACAGTCCTATTAAACAAAAATTGCTGCATGATTGTTCATTTTGTCCTTGTCAATAAGAATAGAAATTTTCTATCCCATTCCCAATCTTGGTGGAATGTCCTCTCCCTCCCTAGAAATGAAATACCATTCTAACTTATTCAAATTCTCATTTTGATTCTTATCTAAATCAAATAGACTATGAGAATAAGTCATTCCAATTCCAATTTGGATTCCAACTATAAGCAAAATGGACCTTAAATTACTAATCCTACGGGACCATGGTTTTTAAAACCAACTCGAAGACCGAACCGGTCAGGGGTCTGATTATCGAGTCGAACGGTCAACCTGTTTTGACAAAAGAATAAAATAAATAAAAAAATGAAAACCGATCAAAACCGTTCGAATAATTAACCACCCGGGTCAGTGATTTGCTGACCAAAATCAACGATTTTTATGGAAAATCAGGTTTTAGGAAAAACCGGAACCGGTCGCTTAACCGGTTTCCTGTTTTTCTGGTCTGGCCGTCCCGTACGATCCAGTTTTGAAAACCATGTATAGGACTAACTTGCTGAATTGGGCAAATTGTGACTAGGAAAATTGCAAAAGGTCTCAAGTGATGATGAACTACAACACATGGTTTTCCATACTAATCCACAAGGTAGTAGTGTTTGAAGCCGGCCACAGAACTGCAAATCCAAGTCAGCTGGAGCCCAAAGCTTGCTATCAAACACTGTTAGGTAAATCAGAGTCGCAACAAAAGGAATCAAATGTGGACAGATCCAGGAGGGTCGAAAGACGACATGAAGAGATGGAGAATATAGAGGAGGAGCATGAAATCATTTACAGCCACAAGCTTTTTCATGCAAAGAAGAGAGCCCCGTCTTTCTTCTTATCCTAAACCATCCAAAACCAAACGTATACATATACATGTTTTATTTCTTCAGCTTTTAATTATTGTCCACATGAGAGCCTTGAGAACATACGTTTGTGGGGCTGGCTTGTCCACTTCTAGCGAAAAAAAAGGAAAAGAATATGCTTTTGTACATCAACCATCACCCATCTAATCTAATCAGTGGAGGAGTGAGGAATTTTGTTTTGAGACGGGGAGGAATAAATTAAACAAGAAAATGAAATAGGGAGTAGATGAGGTAGGGCTTGAAGAGAACTGGGGCTATTACAGATTTTTTTTTTTTTTTTTAATTTTAGGAGTTGGAGGGGAGTGTTACAGAGCGATCCTTAACATTTTAATGGGAATTTGGGAGAGGGATGCATTTAATTACGTTTCTGACCCTGCCTCCACCTATATAAATAATGGTTTTAACAAATTTTGGGAGGGCCAAGGATCCTCTACCAAGACACTTGACTTCACCTTTGCATCTAATAATAATCTTGTCATAGGCATCTATAACAAGATAATAATGGTTATATCATATTTATATCCAAATTAATCATCCTAAAATTAGGTTTTTTCTTTTTTTTTTTTTTTGGGTAGACCCTGAAGAAAACTCATATAAAACCATGTTAGGGACAAATTAGTCCTTACATAAGAAAACAATAAACTATTTCTTGAGAAAATTTCCTTATTCCAGGTGGTAATGTTTCAAAGCAAAAAGTGTAAAACCCGAGGGAAAACGCGTTTGGGTTTTGACAGAAAACGTGAATTATTACATAAGAGAAGGAAAAAGAGTCTAAGCTACTTATGCGACTGCGAAAAGTTGACAAGGTATTTAAGCTGACTGCATTTGATTTTTAGCGCTTTTTCCCTGCTAAGTTGAGCCCACCATGTTTGTCTTATTCACTAATTCAGATGTTGATATTCCTCTATAAATACTCAGATCTACCCAACCTCCATTCATTCTCATTTCTCATTATCTCCTCTTCTTCAATTCAATCTCTCTCCTACAAATCTACAATTAAACAACACCAATCATGGCCTTGATGCTGCGATCTTCTCCTTCTTTCATCAATCTAAACGACACCAAGAGCCTCAAGCCCGTCGACGACTCCCCGAGCTCAGTTTCTTTCGCTCATCATCTCAAGCCGTCGTGCCGTCTCCGAGCAAGGAATTCGAGCCATGATGGGCAGCACTCGCGCGAGAAGGCTTCAGTCTGTGATGGAAGAAAGGACGAGAAGTGGGAGAGGCTCCATGCATTGGTAGGAGGTCATAGCAAGAAGAGTAACAGAGTTGCTGTGTTTGTTATGTTACCCCTTGACGCAGTATCTCCAGGAGGCAGCCTGAACCGGCCACGAGCGCTGAATGCCAGCTTGATGGCCTTGAAGAGCGCTGGGGTGGAAGGAGTGATGGTGGATGCTTGGTGGGGATTGGTGGAGAAAGATGGGCCTCTGAGTTACAACTGGAGACCTTATGCTGAGCTTGTGCAGATGGTTCAGAAGCATGGCTTGAAGCTTCAAGTTGTCGTGTCCTTTCATCAGTGTGGAGGGAATGTTGGGGACTCTTGCAGGTATCCAAGGGTCAAATGAAATGTTTACTATGTATAGATAGTTAGATATAGATGTAGACAGTACTTTTGGGTTTTAATTCTGCTTTCTGATTTGTCTGCCATGAACATGATCCTGTGTTTGGGTTGACAGAAAATAAGAGAGAAACAGAGAAATTCCTTGAGAACTTCCCCCTCAAATTTCTGGTTCAGTCTCATTTAGTTCGTGGGTTCTATTCCATAAGATTAATGGAAACCATCTAAAATAGTTTCTCTCCCTGTTTCTTCTTTTCATTGAATTTTCAGCATACCTCTACCTCCATGGGTGCTTGAAGAAATCAGCAAGAATCCCGATATTGTCTACACAGACCGGTCCGGCCGAAGAAACCCAGAGTACATCTCATTGGGCTGTGATTCCTTGCCGGTGCTCCGGGGAAGAACACCAATCCAGGTCTACTCCGACTATATGTGGAGTTTCCGGGAAACGTTCAGAGATTATCTCGGAGGAGTTATTGTGGTGAGCATCTGTTAACTATATTGCTATGCTATATAGATGAGAAGAGCACAATGCCCGGTCTAAAGTAAACATTACTCAGTGGATATCAGAATAAGTTCTCAAAATTTGAACAGATAATGAATTCAGACATTCCTTTGTATAAACTCAATACTAGGCAGATTTTTAAGCGGAATTTTATTTTTTATAAAAAAATACTGAAAATGGTATTCAAGCAATTTTATGTAACACTCATGGATACCTAAACTCTCACAATTGCGTTTCGTGAAAGAAAATTCATAGCTAATCGTGTTCGATTCAAAAACTGTTATACACGAGATACAATTCTGTAGAATATGGTCAACATGCATATCATAGTTATACAAACCGGACTGAAATTGTTAGTTTGAACCAGTAAATCTGGGAATCGGTCCTTGTTTTGGTCTTTTGGTTTGGTTTAGCTTGTTGTTATTATTATTATTAATTGATAACAGTGATGGTGGTTAAGAGGAAATTGATGCCGTTGTCAACACGCCACATCACTTGTAAAGAGAGCCACGAAAATATGATGATGACGTGGTTTCATTCAGTAGTCAAATTCATATGATTTGGGCCAGATGGGCCAAATCCAAGAAGTGGGCCATCCACACTTTATGGGCTATCTTCACTCCCAAATATGTGGAAAAGACGTTCACTTTTTGGGTTTTGCAACTTGCTTATAATTATATAATTTGCAGGAGATCCAAGTCGGAATGGGCCCTTGTGGAGAGCTCAGATATCCATCCTATCCACAAACCAATGGCACCTGGAGATACCCTGGAATTGGAGAGTTCCAGTGTTATGACAAGGTAAATAAATTCAAAAAAGAGGGTGTAAATTATTTTCTTATGAATAGAAGCCCAGGGCCCACTAATTGAATTTTTTTCTATTGGGCCACGTGCATTCGGGCCCAACAGAGCCAACATCCACCAAGTCATTCAATTAGTGGGCCTCCAATGCAATGTTGGGGCAATTCCCATGTTTAGTTTTCCCTATTAATTATATCTCTGTAATTTGTGAATTACAGTACATGAGAGCATCCTTGGAAGCATCGGCTGAGGCAATTGGGAAGAAAGAATGGGGCAGAAGTGGGCCCCATGATGCCGGACACTACAACCAGTTCCCGGAGGAAACCGGATTCTTCCGAAGGGATGGAACATGGAACTCCGAGTACGGCCAGTTTTTTTTAGAGTGGTACTCGGGGATGCTGCTTGAACACGGTGATCGAGTTCTAGCAGCGGCAGAAGGGATATTCAAGGGCACCGGAGCTAAGTTATCCGGCAAGGTTGCCGGAATTCACTGGCATTACAGAACTAGGTCTCACGCAGCTGAATTAACCGCCGGGTACTATAACACCCGGCACCGAGATGGCTACCTTCCAATTGCACGAATGATGGGCAAGCGAGGTGTTGTATTGAACTTCACGTGCATGGAAATGAAGGACTGGGAACAGCCAGACTATGCAAATTGCTCGCCTGAAGGATTAGTCCGACAAGTCAAGATGGCATCCAAGACAGCGGGGACAGAGCTCGCCGGTGAGAATGCGTTGGAGAGGTACGACGAGGGAGCATTTGCACAAGTGTTAGCGACGAGTAGGTCAGATGCAGGCAACGGGTTGTCTGCGTTCACACATCTGAGGATGAATAAGAGATTGTTTGAAGAGGGAAATTGGCGAAATTTAGTGGCATTTGTGAAGAACATGTCGGAAGGTGGTCGGAATGACAAACACTCCGAGTATGATTCTGGTCATACAAAGCTTTATGTGGGTTTTATTAATAAAAGGAACACAAAGAGTCAGGAAGCAGCTCTGGTGTGAACTGTGAAGAAAAAACGTACCAATAGTTCTCAGACGGTACACAAATTAGGCTGTTACGCACTTGCGCCAAGCTGAAGGAAGAGAGAGATGAAGAAGAAAAGAACACATATACTGTAGTTAACATTGAACATACATAAAATCAACAGAAAAAAAAATGTATCTACTTCTCCAAGCCATGAAAGGAGATAGTACTTGTATTTATTAGTGTAACTGAGTAGCTTTTAGCTGAAAGAGTAATTTGGTGCCATCAATTTCATTTATACAATCAAGCTCTGAAGTTTCTGTGGGTCTAGATATGCTAGAAACAGCAAGATGTGCAATAGTTGCTGATACACCAAATCAGAGATTTGGATTTGGAGTCTGATTGAATGTAAGGAAAAACACTAATGTCTTAATCTCTGAATTGGTGTACCAGCTTGTTTCCAGTAGATCCGATCTCTATTGCTTGAGGTAAAATCTCAGACTAACAGTGTGAAGATGCAAGTTTTAATCAGGAGTCCACCCCATCCTAAGAACCCTAATAGCCAAGACCAACAACATTGAGTAATTATTAACCTAGAATAGCAGTCAAGCCCACGTTTTAATGATACCCCTAAAAAAGGTTTCTTCTTTGAGTTCTATATCAATTCACTCAGCCAGACCACATTGTCATTGCTTGAGTTTGCTACTTCTGTTATCCAGCCGTTCTTTCCAAAATACACAATGAATGACATTTTTCCTATAAATTGTCATTTTCTTTAATAAGCTCATGATGTTAATATTCAACAAATTATAGACTATTTTAATAATATACTTTTCAATAGAATGATGGATCAATCTTGCTTCTTCATCTTGCCCAGTCAGGTTCCCAGAAATGCACCAGATTCTGATTCCCATCTCCATGTCGTCCATGCAGCCAAGTGTTTAAAGGTAGGGTAGATTTAGAATTCTGCTCACACAAAGGAAATTTCCACCGTCAGAGTTCCAAGATAACAAGAAACTTCCCCTGTGCTACCATACTAGTGATGGATGATTCAGGTATATCATCGATGTTCCCATCAAGTCTTGACCTGAATAACCTTTAAGCCTCAAACCTATAGTCATTACAATCTGTAACACCAAAAGTCCACTCTTCACAATTCTCAATTGATGTAACCAGGAACCAGCGAAGAGATGCTCATGCCATCGTTTAGATGAAGTTCTCAAACAAATAATTACAGGAAATACTCATTATTATCGGTTCTTGTGCAGTTCTACCTATATTTTAGATTAAAACGAGGGACAAAGAAAATATGAAATGGGTTAAAAGGCAGCAGATATGCAAAATATATAAGCATTTATTAATGGAGTCAAATTTCCTAGGAAAAAACATCTAATCATTATGAATCAGAATACAGAACCACATTCAAACCAATCTCATGAACAAGGGGTGCAAAACATCAACACAATAAAGGCTAAAAACAGAAAGCAATCTCTTCCTGTGTGAAGTACGTCCACTTTCATTCAAACATTCAATAAATCAGGTCAAGGAAACTGTAGCACTTCTTAACTTCGGTTATATTACATAAACAACATAACAAGCTATTCTCTTCTCAGTCAAGTAGAAGGTAAGCAGAGTCCACATCCACAACAGAGGTCCAACTTTGAGAATGTCTATGAACCAGAAATTTTCTTCAGTGAAGCCCCATTACCATTGTTCATGATGTACACTACCTTGTTAATTCTTTTCATCTACAGTCCCAACTCCAGATAAGGAGTGTTGCATCAGGTTGGTGTCTGGTATAAAACTACTACCAAACAGCTAAATGAAACAAATTTTGAATAATCATTCCAAGCTCTGGAGAGGGATGCAGAAACAGGATTTATATAGAGTTGGCATAAAGATTTATGARTGGAAAAATGATCTCCACCATGTGAACGAAAGCATTGGGAGAGAATAATCAATAGAAATGTTATGATACCTGGATACAGCAAGGACACGTCTGGATTTGGTACCACATACAAAATTTACACTAAAAATTGAAGTACCAGACATGATACAGCACCTTTGTACAGGTATCCAGGACTCCAGGTATCACAACAGAGATGGCAGAAGTGGTTTATTAGCATGCAAACAGAAGAAAGAATGATAAACCCAAAGTTCAAGTAGAAGGGAGCTACAAACTATTTCAAGCAGCAAAAGTCAATCACTATGAAGACCATTTCAAAGCAACATCATTTTGTACAAGAGACACCTCATTGAAGGGATCATCATGCCAATCCACATTCCAAGCTAGTTGGAGAATAACTAAAGTTTGAACATTCCTTTGGAATCTAAAATGAACAGAGCAGTGTCAAAGAATAACCTCACTAACAAAATTGCAATTAAATCACAGGAGACTATATGAAGTGATGGCAAAAAAGAATCTATGTATTAAGTTCCAAATCCTTCTAAATGTCTGAATGAAGATTTACTAACGTAGCACCTAAAATTAGATATTAATAAACTCACATTAAGGTATTTAGTGCACTGATCAGTCCAGAGAATGATTGAGCAATGCATATGATATTTATTCTTGACATTGTTTTCTTTTCATTGCCTGACCTGATCTTTATTTGATGATAGCTACTCCTAGGGATTAATCTTTGAAGAGATAATCACTCTTGCAATAATATCTAGCATGTCATTTATTCTTTGTATTTAATACATCCTTTAATTTATGAATTATGACTTCTTTTTGCATCAAAACAGCTATAATTGCAAATTGGATAAGAACTTTTCATATGAATCCTTTATGTCACAATTTTTTTTTTTTTGATAAATATCCTTTATGTCACAATTAATTTTATATGATAATCTAATCAGGCTTCAGGCATCCTTGGTTGCATAACAAAACAAATGGAAATACTAAATCAATAGTGGCTTATATTTGCTGCATTGGATGTTAAATTTTGAAAAATCTAGTAAAATGCCTTCCATTATAGACATCAGCCTTACTCCTTTAAGTTCTGCTTCAGCATGGTCCACTCTACAATTAAGTCATAAAGACTATTCTCGCCATCTTTTCCAAACTGCCACATGCTCAACACCTATAGAATTTCTTTCAGGTTGACTTTCTTCTTCAGTCTTCATCTTTTATTAGTTTTAAAATGGCATCACAATAAATGTACATAGAAGCACATGTATTCACGTTATTATCATGCTGTCATTGCAGAAGGATACGACTAATGTTCCTACTTCCTAGGAATGATGCTGTACCAAGTAAAATCAATGTAATTCCCAACAAAAAATAAAATCAATTATTAATAGGGACAAAATCACAGAACTAAAACCAATATAATCAGTCGGGTGGAACTGATCCATTGACAATCCTATCCAATGTGGCCATATTTTCTATCAAGTTGTTATTTCTTTGTCATCCAAATTACAAATAACATATAGTGATCCAATATCAACTATACAGAATGCCACATCATCCATCTGGCTATTCAGCCTCTAGGCACATAAGACCAGCCACTTAAGTAAGCATGGTGAATAAGCTAGAAACTTAGTACCACAGAGATGTAGGAAATGTAGACGTAAATTTCTAGGATCACAATGTTAAGGCTAAACAAAGATAAAGCAAGCCCTGATAAAGAAAAGGGCTGGAATTTTGGGGTAAGGAAACTTGGTAATGTTCACTAGTTTTGGGTTAGCAAGGACCAGGAAGGCCTAAGTCTTGATAATTAGAATGATGAGCATGGTCAATTCTGGCAAATAGGCATATAAGGGCTCGAATTCAATTAGTAGAATTTTCAAGAAAAAAGTACAGACCAAAGCAAATGCAATTTCAATTGCAGTTAATATTTCTTAGTACAAGTTTCAGAAACCTTGTTTATAAAACTTGGCTTAGGACGGTAGCTCTAATTGTTCCTTATGTTACAACTCAAAAAATAAAATTTACTTGACTCTGACAATCCTCGACCTGGCTCAGATCATTTGTAACAATGATTCAGAGTAGAAACTACATCAAGAAGGATCCTAAGCTGTAGTGCATTAACAAAGAGAATCCTCTATTCCTTGTGTGCCCATTGCCTATCGGGTACTTCTGAACCTGCATACATAGAACTCAGTAAAATTCAAGACTCTGGAAACGTGACCTAAAAATTATAATTAATTACAAACTCGATAAAATAGATTTTATTGAATCTGGTTTCCATAGAGTTCCTTCGASCTAAGAAAATCTTCATTTTTATGGGAAAACTAATTGAACCAATATGATTCGACCAATTTCAAATGCATTCCCGAAGATTACCTGCACCGTCAAGAGAAGCTGGTCATCAATCATGGGGTGAACTGGTATTCAGATTTCTGCGTCGGAGGTCTTCAATCAAGTCTCCAAGCTCTTTCCTGGCAGATTCCCTTCCGAACATGAACCCATACCTGCAAAATTCGAAAACAAGAGAACGAGGAACAAATCAACAAAAACCAAAAACCTTAACCCTAACCCTAAAACACAATATGAATCAGGGACGCTTACCAGAAGGAAACGGCAGAAAACACTCCGGCTGCAGCAACCGTTTGGAGTAGAGTGAACGTTTTCTCCATCAAACGAGACGTAAAAATTACCGAGAGTCTGAAATTTGAACCGTTAGTGGCAGCAACCAGCGAGCGAGCAACAGATCTTGGCAAGGCAATGGAGTGGAGAAAGGCGGGTGGTTTAAACGTGCTGATGTCATGATCCCGTACACAGGTTGATATAATACAATGCTAAACACTGATTGTTAGATAAGCACATAATGACGCGACATTTGACACCGCTGCTCGTATCTTAATCCTACCGCATGCACTGAATCAGTATCAGACATTAGCATTTACATGGAAGATATTTGCATCAACTGCAGTGCAATTGCTGAACCCAAGCGAATTTGCACTCCGGTTCAGTTCTATGCACATAGTTACATACAATTGTGTACTGTAATTGACAGTAAAGCTAGATCCAATTTTGGTATTCAAAATGGTTTTGAGAGCAAAGTTTTGTATTAAAAGAATACAATCAAATTTTTGCACTCAAAGATGATAAATGTAGAAAAGCTAGATCCAATCTTGGTATTCATGCTTGTACCCTTAACAACCAAATCCTTTTGATAAAAAAAGAAACAGGGTAAATTAAAGATCTATAAAAAGAAAAAGGGCAAAGCCTCAAGGCTGTGTTGGGAAACGATGCAAATAAGTGTGAATGTAAATATGTAGAGTGTAAAATGGTTCATATAAAATGCAAAATTGGATTAGTTTTGCACTAACAAATTTACCTTTTCATCAAACAGACTTTTAGCTGTAATGGATACAAACATGAATTCCAATAAAGCATATGCTCTTTTTTTATCAAAAGCCCACTTGAATGCAAATTTACTTCTTCTTTATTGATGTACTTCTACATCTTATTATCAATGTAAATATGCATTGGACTGTCATTTGTCAATGCATAAATGTAATGTTGCCGAACACAAGCAAAAGTGAACCAGAATGCAAATTTACCCTGAAMCGGGATTTACACTCCATTTGCATCATTTCCAAACGCACCCCAAGGCTCAGTTTGGAAGGAGTACAAATACAAATATGTAGAGTGCAAAACGTTACATATTTTGTATGTACATATTTGTATTTGTACTTCTTCCAAACTGAGCCCAAGAGAAAATCTTCCTAGATTTCTCCTATTATATTTTGGGAAATTGTCTAAAACCAACCATCACTTTTGATGAATTCTCTTAAACTCACCACAACTTTTCAAAACATCCAAAACTCACCATGTTACTAACTTGACGCTAAACAGACAAACGGGAGTTAACACATTACCATTTTACCCTTCATAGAAAAATATAAAATATATACCTATATGTTTTAATATTTTAACTACAAAAACATGAAAAAAGGAAAATGTTCAAAAAATATTTTCAAATATAAAATACATAAAAACACAGAAATTATAAAAAAATATAAAAAACTATATAAATTGAAAACAAAATCAGAAAATAAAAATTGTAGAAAAACACCTAAAATTATAAAAAAAAACCACAGAAATTGCAAATAAATAACAAAAAATACAGAAAAATTTATAGATTGTAGAAAATAAAAGAATGTAAAAAAACAGAAATTAGAAAAAAAAACATTGGAAATTATAACAAAACACTAAAAATGCAAAAAAACAAGAAAATTGAAAACCGAAAAAGACAAAAGAAACTCGGAAAATATAAAGATTGGATAAAAACAAAAATTGCAAATATACATAAAATGATAAAAAATAAAAAAATTATATATTATAGAAAAAAAGTAAAAAATTGTAAAAACACAAGAAAGTGATAAAATTTTCAAAAAGATGGTAAAAACCTACACAGAAATACATAAAATGATAAAATTTTAAAAAATATCAACTAAAAAAAGAAAAAAATAAAAAAATATATTTTAGAAAAAATAAAAAATTACAAGCAAACTAATAAAATGATACAATTTTTCAAAAAATAAACAAAAATTAGACATTGAATCCGAAAATTGTTGCAACAAAATTTCAAAAAATATTTCAAACAATCAGATAAACAATTACAGTATTTTTTTTTGCATAAATTTGTTGAACCCTCAATGGGGATTTACATTCCAAATTCAAAAGAACACATTGCAAATGTTTCAAAACATCCAAAATCTTTGAAATTTATGATCGTCTTCTTTCAAATCTTCAAACCAGTAGATCTTCAAACAATAGATATGTGTGGCAGCAAACTTCAAACGAGAGAGAGAAGGGGGTGGTGCAATGGCTATCTCCAAGATCTAAGTGAGAGAGAAAGTGCTATGGTTGCAACAAGATCTAAAGAGGGTGGTGTGGCAGCAGCAAGATCTGAGCAAGAGAGAGGGTGGTGCGGCGACGAGATCCACAGAGGGTGGTGCAGCTACCTTCAAGAACGAGAGATAAAGTGTTATGGCAGTGGCAAAGATTTGAGCGAGGGAGAGGGTGATGCAGTGACTACCTTCAAGATCTAAGCGAGAGAAGGTGGTGTGGCGGCCAGATCTGAGCGAACGAGAGAAAGAGAGAGAAAAGTGTTATTTATGCTAACATGGCCATTTATGTTCAGAAACATTAACCACTAACAGGATGTGAGTTTTGGAAAATAAAAGGGTTTCTAGCCGATAAGGGCATCTTTTTGCCCTTAATATCAATCAAAATAAAATTTTTCATATAATAACGGAATGAGATAACTTTTTTTTGAAAAAAAAATATCAAATTAGGGCATCAGTACTGTTCGCCTTCCTCCTCTCTACTCAGGTGGCTTCTTTGTAAATATTTGTCGCATATTCAACGTGGGAGGTCCGTATACCACGATTGTCTGCATACTTTTTGTTCCTGGGATAGGAACAGAAAGTAGGAGTTTTAAGAAGTGATTGAAGTTAAGACGGAATCTTTGGCCCTGCTCAAACCATCTTGCTTCAATCTACCTCCTCAATCTTTGGCCTTGCTCCTCCACCAGACCCACCTTGGCTTTTCCGGCCATAATCTCCTTCCAGCATGTCTTCAGCACCACTACCCATACCTCTTGGCGATGATTGGATTGCATATACCCTCCAATTCCTTCTGCTTGTCTTCCAACTCATCCACCTCCGCCAACTGATTCTTGTCCAGCCACTCAAGAGCCTCATCGATTGCCTTCTCAATCCTCTGCTTGTCTCTATCGAATCCAATTTCCCAGAAAACTTCTCACCCTACATTGTATTCCTCATGTTATGCGCATAATTCTCCAGTGAATTCTTGGCCTCCACCTTCTTCTTTACTTGCTCGTCTTCAGCCTTGTACCGCTCTGCATCCTTCACCATCTTCTCAATCTCCTCCTTGCTCAGCCTTCCCTTGTCATTGGTCATTGTGATCTTGTTCTTCACCCCTGCAGTCCTATCCTCAGTCGAGACATTCAAAATTCCATTGTGTCAATATCGAAGCACACGTTGATTTGTGGAACTCCTCTCGGTGCCGGTGGAATGCTGGTGAGCTCGGATTTGCCTAGGAAGTCGTTGTCCTTGGTTAGAGGACGCTCAGCTTCGTAGACCTGAATAAGTACACCAGGCTGGTTATCTGAATAGATTGAGAAAATCTGCTCTTTCTTGGTCGAAATCGTGGTGTTCCTTGGAATCAAAGTAGTCATGACACCTCCGACAGTCTCGATGCCGACGCAGAGAGGTGTGACATCCAGTAGTAGCAGGTCTTGGACCTTATGGTCGCCTTCACCGGTCAGAATTGCAGCTTGCACAGCAGCACCGTATGCAACTGCCTCGTAGGAGGACTTACACAGAGGCAGAGGAAGATGATCAATAGTGGCACTGCCCTTGTTTGATATTTTTCCAAAAAAGATATCCTATTTTAGTTATTATATAAAAATATTATTTTTTATTGATATTAAGGGCAAAAATCTGCTATTAACCCAAAATAAAACTCATTGACATGGGGTTCCTTGGACGTTTTGAAAAGTTATGGTGAGTTTAAGAGAATTCGGTGGATTTTGGACAATTTCCCTTATATTTTTTATAGAATTGTCAATTTTAATATCAACCCATATACACATAACAACTTAAGCGATCATATGACTAGTCTAACTAGTTAATGGGCTAGGCCCTTAACATAAGTGGTTACTTAATTACTTTAGTTGCAAGTCAATTAGGCCTGAATATTATATGGTGTGGGACTCACAAAGCTCTCATATCAGTCCATATGGGTTCAGCTCATGCATGAAAACACATGGGTCGGATTCATTCGCTAATCCCTAAGCCAATTGAATTGGGCTTAGTACAAGCCCAACACTTAAGAATGAGTAATATATGGTTTCAACCACCCTATGAAGCCCAAATATAATGGATTAATACAAGATATAAGCCCATTAGGTTTTAGCCCTAAATAGTCTTTTGCTCTTAACCTCTCGACCTAAAATATTCAAACACTACTGATGAGGGGCATTTTGGTCAACCCACTTGATGGAGGACACGTGGACACTGTCAGCAACACAGCGTCCAACTCAGCAAGACAGCTCACCAGTTCAACACGTGGCCATTTATAACAAGTGCGTGGCCAAGCTGAAGCAAGCTCGGCCTACCAACAATGACAGCTCACCCGAAACCGTCTCATGCACCATATCCGGTTTAGTACCGTTACCAAAACTATAGGGACAGCTCGTTGAACCGCACGCCATGGGACCAATAGGCGACCTGTAACTGCTACACGAATTTAGCAACTAACGGCCCAACACTCCCTCAAACTGCGAAAACAACTCCATAGAAAACTCAAAGACATTGATCAATGACACCTGGACTCCTAATAACTATAAAAAGAACCCAGGGACACTCTAAAAGGTATGTGCACATAAGCTCTCACTCTCTTTCAATTTCTCTAGGAGAACTACCCACTAACTTAAGCATCGGAGTGTCCTCCTGGGTAAAATTTACCCAGACACTCTTAACCTCTCTTTCATTTCAGCAACTCTCAGCTCGGACCCTCAGCTTGGCTTACCGAAGATTGAAYCCAGTCCGAGCCACCTCACCAAACACAAGGGAGTGAATAGATTCTGTGCTTTATCTATTGGTGGGCATATTTTGTGCTTCATCAAATGGCGTCGTTTGTGGGAAACGCAACAAAAAGTCTATGTTTCCTTTCATTCATTTCTTTATCTTTTTCATTTTCCTCAAAGAAACCTTTCAATGGCATCT